TTGAAAAATTTACTCTAGAATACAAAAATTGATGTGACAAAGACTGTATAAATGTCTAAATATATTTTTGAAAAATTCCCTCTAGAATAGAAAACTTCATATGCTTTAGACTCATTTTTGGTTATCGGTATAAGGTCGGCCAATTCCACTTTACACTTTTCGTCTTTCTTAAAATTGTAGAATAAAAAATTGTTATGTATGATGTTCAGTCTCATACAACAATTAAATGTTTTTATAAGTGTTTTTCAAAAAATTCGTCCAAAAAAACAAAAGTTGATGTGACAAAAAGACTCATTAAATGTTTTGAAAACTTCGCTTTAGAATACAAAAATTGGTGTTACATATAAAATTACTAAATATTAAAAAAAAAAATCTATCTAGAACATAAAACTTAATGTGGTTCTTTGTCATTCTTAAATGTCAGCGTATCACTTTTAAATTTGCCAGAAATGTTTAAATAAAAACCTTACGGTGTTGAGTGTTTAGAATGTGCAATTTTTAGAAGAATACTAAATAAACGTTTTTAAGTGTTTTTCGAAAAATTCGCTGTAGAATATGAAAATTGATGTGACGAAACTAAATAAAAGTTTCTGCAAAAGTCTGTAGAATATAATGTAGGTCTTGGTCTTTTTGAAATATCAGCATAAGGTTCGTCAATTACACTTTACATTGTTCAATGTTCTTGAAAATATACTAAGTCAATGTTTCCAAGTGTTTAGAAAAAATCACTCTAGAATATAAAAATTGATGTTATAAAATTTTATAAATATTTTTTTGAAAATGTCTGTCTAGAATATAAACTTGATGTGGTTCTGGTCGTTTTTAAATATCAGAATATGGTGCTACAATTACACGTTTCAATTTTCTTGAAATGTGTAAAATAAAAACGTTTTGGTGTTGAGTGTCAAATAACAATTAAGATATGGATATTTAAAAAAATACTTCATAGATGTTTTGAAATTTTTTGGAGAAATTCGCTCTAGAACATAAAAATTGATGTGACAAAAATTCAAAAAAAAAAAATTAGTTTAAGTACTCGCCTCTAAAAGACACTAAAATACAAGACTTGATGTATTTTTTGATCATTTTTAAATATCAGTGTAAGTTCGCCAATTACAATTGACATAAATGTTTCCAAGTGTTTTTTGAAAAATTCTCTCTAGAATACACACATTGATGTTTTAAAATCACTAAATAACAATGTCTTCAATATTTTTTTGAAAAAGTCTGTAGAAAATAAAACTTGATGTGGTTCTTGAAAATTCCCTTGAAATCTTTAAAATAAAAACTTTATGGTGTTGAGTGTCATCTAACAAAAGTCCGCTATAAAATACAAAAGTTGATGTTACAAAAAGACTTAGTAAATGTTTTTCGAAAAATTCGATCTAGAATACAAAAACTGATGTGACAAAAGTACTAAATAAAAAAACTTGATGTTCGTCAATTACACTTTACACTCTTCAATTTTCTCGAAAAAATACTCAATAAATGTTTCTAAATGTTTTTTGAAAAATTTGCTCTAGAATACAAAAATTGGTGTTATAAAATTATTAAATAAACATTTCTAAATATTTGAAAGTCTCTCTAGGATGTAAACTTTATATGGTTCTTGTCAATTTTTAAACATCAGCATAAGGTGTTCCATTTACACTTTTCGATTTTCTTGAAATATACTGCCAGACAAAAAAACCCGGACACTTGAATTCACACTAATGTTTAGTGTTATAGCTTTTTTTGCTTTTTTCTGTTTCCACATGTTTTAGAATACAGTTACGTTTTCTGTTAATGAATACATTCAAGTTTTGCTTTTTGAAATATTTTTAACAAAAGTTCGATCAACTGCAGGTAATCACAAAAAATTCAAGTGTCCGGGTTTTTTGTCTGGCAGTGTGTATTTAGAATAAAAACCTTATGGAATTGAATATCAAATAACAACTAAAATATGGATATTTTTAAAAAATACTTAATAAACTTAAGTGTTTTTCGAAAAATTCGCTTTAAAATACAAAAGTTGATGTTACAAAAAATCTTAATGTTTTGAAATTTTTGGAGAAATTCGTTCTAGAACATAAAAATTGATGTGAAAAAAACCTAAATGTTTCCAAGTGTTTTTAGAATACAAAAATTAACATGCTTCTAAGTCATTTTTAAATATCAGCATAAGGTTCGTCAATTACACTTTACCTACACTTTTCAATTTTCTTGAAAAATACTAAATAAATGTTTCCAAGTGTTTCTTGAAAAATTCGCTCTAGAATACAAAAATTGATGTTATAAAATTACTAAATAAAAATTTCTAAATATTCGAAAGTCTGTCTAGAATATAAAACTTCATGTGGTTGTTGGTCGTTCTCAAATATCAGGATAAAGTGCTCCAATTGCACTTTACACCTCTCAATTTTCTTGAAATCTTTAAAATAATTAATGTTTTTAGGTGTTTGTCGAAAAATTCGCTCTAAAATACGAAAGCTGATGTTACAAAAAGACTTATAAATGTTTTTAAATTTCTTGTAGAAATTCACTCTAGGACATAAAAATTGATGTGACCTAAATAAAAGACTAGAATGCAAAACTTAATGTAGTTTTTGGTCATTTTGAAATATCAGCCTAAGCTTCGCCAATTTACACTTTTCAACCTTCTTTAGGTGTTTACAAATGTTTCTTGAAAAATTCGCTCTAGAATACAAAAATTGATATGCTTCTGAGTCATTTTAATTATAGGCTTATGTTCGCCAATTACATTTGACTCTTTCCAATTTCCTTTCTCTGTTGTCGAGTAAAAAGGTGTTATGGTGTTAGAATGCAAAACTTAGTGTGACAAAAATATTGTATGTGTTTTTAGAAAAAATCGCTGTAGAATATAAAACTTGATGTGGTTCTGGGACATTTTTAAATATATATTAGATTAAAGTTCGTGTCAATTATATTTTTTAAATTTTTTTGAAATTTGTAGAATAAAACGGTTGAACTAAATGTCATAAAAATCAAAGTAGTTTTAGCGCATAAGGGTTATCGTAAGTTTGTAGAATTAGAATAAGATTTATGGTAGAATATTCACATTGATAGGATGCTAAAAAAATCATATTGTCTGTAGTATACGTAATTTTAAATTTTTTCCAAAATTGGAGGAAAAGTCACTGATGTCGCATATCACATAAAATAAAATTTATGGATCATGATAAAGTAATACTAAGTAAATGTTTTTTGAAAAATAAGTTAGTTCTAGTATAAAATTGGCTGTGTTATTAAAACATTATTTAAACATCGATAAAGTGAAGACGTCATTTCGGACATTTATTAAATAAATGTTGACTCAAAAATAACCTTTGAAGTGAGGTCCTCATCATATTTTCACAATATGATTTCAATCTTACTACCCCGTCCACAGGACCCGCAAAAACAATCATGTATCAACGCAATCATACTTTCGGTTTTTTCAAAAATGTACTTTTCAGTTACATATTTTCGAATTTGGGGAATAAAACGTTCTATATGTTGAGTGTCATATAAAAATTAAATGTGGATGTTAAAAAAAGACTAAATAAATGTTTTAAATGTGATTTTAAAAATAAGCTCAGCATGGCATGCAGCAATGGATGCGCTTTAAGTCATTGTTTAAACATCAGCGTAAGATTCGTCAATTATACTTGATATTTTACATTACGTGTGGTTTAGTTTACAACTGCGTTGACAGGATGTTCAAAAATAATTAACGTGTAACCGATCCAGTTTCAGAAAGAGTACACATAATTTTAATTTCCGTGAAAATTATAGAATAAAATCGTGTTGCATGACATTAGAATTAAATGATGGATATTTAAAAATATATACTAAATAAATGTTATGTGAAAAATTCGCTGCAGCATGCAAAATTCGTCATTTACGTTTAATATGTTTACTAAAATTGAGGCCTTCCTTGTACTTTATTAGTAATGTAACAAGATAGTGGATGTTTTAAGTAAGTGAGTTATCTCGATAAGAATATTTGTAATTTCCTAGTTTTCTCAAAATTCGTAAAATAAAAACAGCATCAACAACGTTATAGGGATGGAAGTAAGGGAATATATTCGTCACCCGGCAGCTCATTGATAGAGCATTCCCCTAACAACCAGGGAGCCGTGGGTTCAAATCCCACAGGGTGACACATAACTTAATTCCGCAAATACTCGTTTTACCACAAATAACATACATAACAAAAAAAAAATTTTTTTTCAAGTAGCAAGCAAAAGTGGTTATTTCTGGCTCATCTTTTAAAAGGTTTACGTTTTACATTTACCTAATAACAATATTTACCAAAATTTTCTTTGAAACTGTGTTTTAATGCTGTAATTTTAGTACAATAGCGGTAATTGTGAGTAATTAATCAATTCGTGACCTCAGTTTTTTCAAAAACAGTCCCTTCTTGATAGCTCAATGCTAGAACATCCTGCTAGTAGGTAGGGAGGCCCATCCAACACCGTCACAACGTACGAATACACGTTATGGTGGTGTTGGATACATTTATTAAAAAAAAATATTTTTTTATAGCATGCAGCATGCAAATTTTAATGTGCTTCAGGGTCATTTTTAAACACCAACATAAGATTCGGTAATTACACATTACAGGATTTAGTTTTAAGTATTTTTATAGAATTAATTTTCTGCCTAAGTAATCAAACCATTGACAAATGTACAAAATATATGTTTTCCGATTTGGACAACAATAATGTTCTCTGTTTTTAAATTTTAATAAACGTTGTGAATGAAATTTTTCTTTTGAATTTATTAGTTATAGTATTGATTACCCCTTGAATCCGAGCGTTTGATTGGTTGAATTAATCACGTGATGTGTTAATAGCGCGATTAAATTAATGGCACGATTAAGTGGTTTTTTAATCGGGTGTAAACATTAACACACCCTAAATCCGTTTGTTGTTTTAATACTGATCCACAGTGATTAATTTTAACCGATTTCAAAAAAGGCGGCTTACAGTGCTACCACCCTCACTGTCACGCCAACCACAATCCATTTGACGTTTGACCTTGGAACTGGTTGAGTGTCGTTTAATAATGTTTACTTTTTTTTTACCTGTGGGTTCGTAGTAGTCAGGGTCGGACCATAAAGATTCACAACCGAGTAGGGACTTTGAATAGGTATCAAGGGGGGGGAACTGGCAAGTTTCCAAAGCAAAAGCACGATGCAGTTATAACAACAAGTGATACGTGAGCTCGTGGTGTACATAAGCAAAATATTTTCGCAATCTTCACTCCATGAATCATTAAAATTACTGTAATATTAGGTAAGTACTGTTGCCACGCTCCAGTAACCCCGCGACCAAGGTGCCCCTTAGTCCACCTGTGTAAACACCACCAGGAAAACCCAGACGTTTCGATTTTCCTTTCCAGGCGACGCGATGGACGACATGGACGAAATGGACACCTTCCGGGATCACACCCCCAAAATCCGAGCCGGGGACATCGTTTGCAAGAAAAGCCGAAAATTAAAAGTCATCAAAGCCTACCACAGGTTCCTGCACGCCTGTACATGCACCGAGTCCGACTGTCAAAATGCGGGCTGCGACGAGATGAAGAGCACCGTGGTGCACTTCAAAATGTGCACCCGCACCCCCAAGAAAGATTGCACTTCATGTCGACAGCTACTGGCCCTGTGCCATTACCATGCCAAACGAAGTCAAGACTGTGAGTCGAAGCTGTGTATCGTGCCATATTGCGCCAAGATGAAGCATTTGATGAAGTTGAAGCGGCGGGCGAAGCGGGCGGCGCGGCGCCAGAAAGAGGCCGCGGAGGCGAGCACCAGCGCTGTCGAGACAGTCGAGATCAACGAGGAATGGGAGGTTAATTCCATCAGCGATAGTGATAGTGATAGCGATAGTGTGGTTGTTGTTGGGCCGGAGGGTGCACAGGAGCAGGAACCTGAAGATGCACAGGTTTGCAGAATTTTTACACGTTTTGCACCCTGTTTGTGGCGAGTAGTTGAGGTATTTCGGTGGTGGAAGGTGTCTAAGACAACACTAAAGTTTAAACTAAATTTAGAATGGAGTTTGGATTAGGCAAACAAATTAGCCAGGCGTTGAGTGCCGGTTTTCCCGTTTCCAGGATGCAAGTCGTAATCGTCCTAAATTTAGTTTAATTATGGTGCTGGATATTAGCTTAGGAGCTCTTATTTTCAGACAGACAGAAGTTTTCCAATCTAATTTGGTAATAAAATTACCCTAAGATTACCAGTAAAATCCCCGTTTTATCAATTTTAACAAACCAGAAAGTGACACATGTTATGTAAATGCAATGTATCTGTGGTGACATTAGCATATTACCCCGAAAAGCGATAATGAATGTACGCAGTCGCTCGATAAAATGACGTCACATTTTTAATATTCATAGCTAACTATTTCAAACTAATTTTTCTGTTAATGTAATTAAATTAATTACAGTAGGCGTCATTCTGTCATTGTACAGGTGTCAAAAATGCAAACACGTGCACTGGAATTCGTGTATCATCTTATGTCAACACCCACTGAAAAAAAATGATAAAAGTTCAAGGTTATGTTGACACTGACAATCGAATGGGGAGCAATACTGCCACGCTAAGTTTGACAGGCACGGCTAACTCTAATTCGTTTTGTTTTCGATCCCACACTACCGTCATGGTAATTAATTCCATGAATTTTCATATCATAAATTTCTATGTTTGTTATCGTTTGTTTATGTTCCGTTGCTTCAAACTGAGTTAAACGAACTTACTCCTAAAATAAACAACGTTCCATTCAAACAAAATTAAGTTTTTACGCGAATTTATAAATATGGAAACATTTTCGTGTACTTTGTCCGTTTTTTAGGACTGAAAAGCCTAAAAAGTTGCCAGTGTTAATAGCTGCTGACTAATCGGTGTACGATGTTGTTGTTTTTTGCATCTAAAGCGATAGACGTGATGTAAATTTTGCCAGTTATTTATTTCATTGATTTAATTATTCAGGCATTGACCGGTCATTTACGCCAACATTATGATTAAAATATGGATAATATAGAGTAAGTGAAATTGTGTACAAAATCGGTGTTTTCGTTGTAAATATAATTAAGCAGTTTTTATAAAACACTTCATAATTACTGCGTGACTTACGAGCGTGATTTCTCTTTAACAAAAACATGTTGGAATTAGCGTCAAATTGAAGCGGAAATGATTTTTACTTACCGAGCGTAAGACTGATTTTGGCAAAAGATCTAGTCTCTAAGAAAATAAAGGGCGGGTGGGCGGGGCTAGTACTTGCCATGATACGACTGATTTTGGCAAAAGACCTAATCGAACGAATTCCATAAAAAGAGTTTCTTCAATAATTTTACAAAAGTGTAATGATTTTGTAAAGTGAAGAAGCTTCTGTAATTTTCAAAAATTCTAAACCACAAATAGAGTCCTAATAGTTTGCATATTTCACAAAAGAAATTTGGAGATGAAGTGATTAATTTTTGGAAAGGGGGTAAACGAATAAATTTTGATTACCAATTTACCACGATTACGATAGTCTTAAAACGTTTGCCAGATTTCAGAGCATTCAGCAATGACAGTCCAGTTTTCCTCTATTTTACAACTTTTGGCTATTGATTGGAGTTTCATAAATAATATTGATATTGTGGACGGAAATTATTTGACTCAACCGTGCCTAAATATTCTCCCTCAAATCTCTCAACAATTTTGGGAGACTTTTGTGTTCTATTTTTGGAAAATTCTAACCTGACCTGATTTTGAGTTAATTTTGAGACCCCGTTTTTTTTTTGAAAATTTAAAATAATCTTGCGGTTCTAGGTATTCTTGTTTGAAAGTGCTTTGGAGCCTCTAGTGTCTTTTCTTATTAGAGGATACGTCATTTGCTAAAATCAGTCTTATCTTAGCAGGTACTGGCCCCACCCACCCGCCCTCTATTTTCTTCGAGGATATGTCATTTGCAAAATCAGTCTTAACATGTATAGTTTTGGAAATTTCATCCTACCCTATAGAATTTGTCTGAGAACATTTAGCAGGTTGTTATATAGTTTTTGCAAATTACCACCGCACAGTGGAGATCATAAAAATTAAGCAACAAAAATGACCCTAATCGGATTACAACGTACCGAAAATGATGACCCCCTTCTTTTAGCCAATCGCCGGGCGGTTTACCTAGAAAATCCTAGAAACAACACTCAGGACAGGACTCGTTATTACGTTTTCTACATTTCTAGTTAGCTAAATACGTGATTGTAAAATAAATGTTTTATTTTTTTATACTCGTACATTATAATGTTATTATAATCATTATTAACGCTAGAATTATAAAACCACTTTAAACGTTTTTATCGTTAGTTCAATAAAACGTGGTGAATACGAACCTGGCGAAGTCCCGAATGCAAGGTAATAGCAAAGAAGATTTTATTTATGGTAGAGTCTTGTTACCTACCGCCTAATTGCGGTTTTCATGGTTGCTTAATTTTTATGATCTTGCCAGTCCGGTGGTAGTTTGCAAAAACTATACTCATAAAATAATGGTCATTTTCGTTCATGAGTAACGATAGTCCCTATCCGGACCTGGATTATTCTGCTTTCTAACATCTGGGGATTACTGGCACGCGACAACTGAAGTTGTAAATATCTCTTGCTATTGTACTACTGTCCGTCTCGTTATTGCCAATAAAATTATATCGGGTAGAATGAAATTTCCAAAAGTATACTAGGACCACCCACCCGCCTTCTCTTTTTTTAGAGGGTATGTCATTTGCCAAAATCGGTCTTATTTTAGCAGGTACTAGCCCCACCCACCCGCAACGATTTTCTTAGAGGGACCTCATTTGCCAAAATCAGTCTTATCTTAGCAGGTAGTAGAATTTTTTTCGTCTACGTCATAAAGGATTTATTTATTAGTTTTTTCGGGCTCCCGGAACCCTCGTACATAACGCACTGAAGAGTTAATCCGCCATTTTCGAGACACCCCGTATTTGAAGAAGCGGAATTTGTTGAACTGTACTTCAAGAGCGAGGGAAGTTCTGTCGAAGTAACCTTAGACCAATTTTTTTTAAGAATGTGAAACCTAATCGGGGGTCCTAACTGTCTTTTTTAAAAATGTAAAACATTGTCAGGGGCGTCAAATGTCTTTTTTATGTAAAACCTTCTCGGGTGTCCCAACTGTCTTTTTTTAAAATATAAACCCTTCCCGGGGGCGCCAAATGTTTTTTTATGTAAAACCTTCTCGGGGGCCCCAAACGTCTTTTTTTTAATGTGAAACCGTCTCGGGGGTCGTAACTGTCTTTTCTAAAAATGTAAAATCTTCTCGGGGGCCCCAAACGTCTTTTTTTTATGTGAAATTTCGGGGGCGCCGAATGTCTTTTTTTATGTAAAACCTTCTCGGGGTTCCCAACTGTCTTTTTTAAAAATGTAAAACCTTCTCAGGGGCCCAGTGTATTTTTTTTTTAAGAATGTGAAACCTTCTCGGGATTCCAATTGTCTTTCTTAAAAATGTGAAACCTCGGGGGTCCCAGTTATCTTTCTTAAAAATGTAAAACCTCTGGGCGCCAATTTTTTTTTTTTTGTTAGAATGTGAAACCTCGGGCCCCAACTGTCTTTTAAAAATGTAAAACCTTCTCGCGGGGTCTCAACTGTTTTTTTTTTTTAGTATGAAACCTAGAGGGTCACAATTGCCTTTTTTAAAAATGTAAAACCTTCTCGCTGGGTCCAAATGTATTTTTTTTAAGAATGTGAAACCTTCTCGGGATCCCAATTGTCTTAAAAATGTAAAACCTTTCTGGGGCGCCAAATGTTTTTTTTTTTTTAGAATGTGAAACCTCGGGGGTCCAATTGTCTTTTTTTTTAATGTAAAACCTTCTCGGGGCCTAAACATCTTTTTTTTAACGTGAAACCTTCTCGGGGGTCGCAACTGTCCTTCTTTAAAATATAAAACCTTCTTGGAGGTCCCAACTGTCTTTTTTTAAATGTAAAAACTTCTCGGGAGCGCCAAGTGTCTTTTTTTATGTAAAACCTCGGGGGCGCCAAATATCTTTTTTTTTTTTTATGTAAAACCTTCTCTGGGGTCCCAACCCAAACTGCCTTTTTTTTAATGTAAAACCTTCTCGGAGGCCCCAAACGTCTTTTTTTATGTGAAACCTTCTCAGGGGTCCCAACTGTCTTTTCTAAAAATGTAAAATCTTCTCGGGGGGCCCAAACGTCTTTTTTTTCATGTGAAATCTCGGGGGCGCCGAATGTCTTTTTTTATGTAAAACCTTCTCGGGGTTCCCAACTGTCTTTTTTAAAAATGTAAAACCTTTTCGGGATCCCAATTGTCTTTCTTAAAAATGTAAAACCTTCTCTGGGGCGCCTTTTTTTAAGTGAAACCTCGGGGGTCCCAGTTGTCTTTCTTGAAAATGTGAAACCTCTGATCGCCAATTTTTTTTTTGTTAGAATGTGAAACCTCGGGGGCCCAACTGTCTTTTAAAAATGTAAAACCTTCTCGGGGGTCTCAACTGGTTTTTTTTAATGTGAAACCTAGAGGGTCCCAATTGCCTTTTTTCAAAATGTAAAACCTTCTCGGTGGCCCCAAATGTATTTTTTTTAAGAATGTGAAACCTTCTCGGGATCCCAATTGTCCTTAAAAATGTAAAACCTTTCTGGGGCGCCAAATGTTTTTTTTTTTTTTTTTTAGAATGTGAAACCTCGGGGGTCCAATTGTCTTTTTTTTAATGTAAAACCTTCTCGAGGGCCCCAAACATCTTTTTTTTAACGTGAAACCTTCTCGGGGGTCGCAACTGTCCTTCTTTAAAATGTAAAACCATCTTGGGGGTCCCAACTGTCTTTTTTTTTAATGTAAAACCTTCTCGGGAGCGCCAAATATCTTTTTTTTTATGTAAAACCTTCTCTGGGGTCCCAACCCAAACTGTTTTTTTTTAATGTAAAACCTTCTCGGGAGCGCCAAATATCTTTTTTTTATGTAAAACCTTCTCGGGGGTCCCAACTGTCTTTTTTTTTTAATGTAAAATCTTCTCGGGAGCGCCAAACATCTTTTTTTTAACGTGAAACCTTCTCGGGGGTCGCAACTGTCCTTTAAAATGTAAAACCATCTTGGGGGTCCCAACTGTCTTTTTTTTAATGTAAAACCTTCTCGGGAGCGCCAAATATCTTTTTTTTATGTAAAACCTTCTCTGGGGTCCCAACCCAAACTGCTTTTTTTTAATGTAAAACCTTCTCGGGGCCACCAAAGGTCTTTTTTTATGTAAAACCTTCTCGGGGGTCCCAACTGTCCTTTTTTTTAATGTAAAATCTTCTCTGGAGCGCCAAGCGTCTTTTTTTTATGTAAAAACCTTGTCGGGCGTTCCAACTGTCTTTTTTAAAAATGTAAAACCTTCTTGGGGGCGCCAAAGATCTTTTTTTTATGAAAACCTTCTCGGGGGCGCCAAAGGTCTTTTTTTTATGTAAAACCTTCTCTGGGGTCCCAACCCAAACTGCTTTTTTTTAATGTAAAACCTTCTCGGGGCCACCAAAGGTCTTTTTTTATGTAAAACCTTCTCGAGGGTCCCAACTGCCTTTTTTAAAAATGTAAAACCTTCTCGGTGGCCCCAAATGTATTTTTTTAAGAATGTGAAACCTTCTCGGTCGTTCCAACTGTCTTTTTTAAAAATGTAAAACCTTCTCGGGGGCGCTAAATATCTTATTTTTTATGAAAACGTTCTCGGGGGCGCCAAATGTCTTTTTTTATGTAAAACCTTCTCGGGCGTTCCAACTGTCGCTTTTAAAAATGTAAAACGTTCTCGGGGGCGCCAAATGTCTTTTCTTTAAAGTAAAACTTTCTCGGGGTCCCAACTGACTTTTTTTAAAATGTAAAACCCTCTCGGGGGGCCCAAATGGCTTTTTTTAAGAATGTGAAATTTCGGGGGTCTCAATTGCCTTTTTTAAAAATGTAAAACCTCGGTCGCCCCATATATTTTTTTAAAGATTAAATCTTCTCGGGGCTCCCAACTGTCTTTTTTTTCTATTACTCTGTGACTAGTACGAGTACTTACTAACTATATTGTTTTTACTTCGTAGAGGTTATCACGAATAAATAAAGTTCGGCAAAATAAAATTTTATAATTTTTCAGAGAAGCAGTATTTGCTGGACTGTATTTCAGAAGCGAGGGAAGTTCTGTCGAAATAACTTTCGACCATTTTTTTTTCTAGAAAGACACTTACGCTTGTTGAAAGGAGACTGTGGCGCATCGAATGCGAATTATCTTTGTTGCATTTTTATGAAATTACTAACAATATTCTATATACCAAAATTTAACACATGTTTCAACTAGCACTACTTCACAAGAAGTGAGTAAGAAACTCTTAAGAATAGGCTCTTATGCAGTCGAGCGTGACGTTCCTCTGCACATAATTTGTATTCTTTTGAGCGCGAAATTTAAAATCAAATTCAGAACACCATACATTATTTTGTATAATTAAAGTTATTCCAAATTCATTCATTTTAATATTTTAAAATCTACTGATTTGATATTTACGTTGGCACTATAGAACAATGAATACAGGTTGTGTGCATGTGAACTTGAATGGGGTTACGAATTTCACAATTTAGTATTTGATAAGATAAGACTGATTTTGGCACTTTTGACATGTTCGACCATTTTTCAACTATTTCCCAAAAATTAGTTGAATACATTTTCTTGTAGATTTCGATATCCAGAAGTCATTTTCGGATTCGTTTCTTCGGAAATTACTAGAAATAGTTCGGTTTAAAAATTTTGTAAATAAAAAAGGAAATTATTTTTTTTTCATTTCAAGAATGTATTTTGTAGTTTTTATATATTTACAGGAATGTTTAAAATTTGATTATTTGGGACAATAGAAAAGTCAGGACTGGTCAGGTGCATGAAATAAGAAATAAATTTTATAGCAAATAGTATATCTAACAAAAAAAGTTGCGGTTAGGGTTTTTGTTTACTTTTTTCACATCCTAGATTCTATTATTAGTTTCCACTCCCACTCAACAGAAGAACACAATTAGCCCCGCCCACCCACCCTGCCTCCTTTTCAGTGATTGATTTTATCCGATGTGAATAAAATACATAAATAATCTCTTACTGAACAGAAATAGAATTCGTGGTTAGAATGAGAAGAGAGTGGGTGGGTAGCGTTAGTACTTGCTAAGATAAGACTGATTTTGGCAAATGATATACCTTCCAAGAAAATAGAGGGTGGGTGGGCGGGGCTAGTACTTGCTAAGATAAGATTGATTTTGGCAAATCATATACCCTCTAAGAAAATAGAGGGTGGGTGGGCGGGGCTATTATTTGATAAGATAAGACGGATTTTGCACTTTTGACGTTTTCGTCGATTTTTCAACCATTTCCGAAAATTAGTTGAAGACATTTTTTTGAAATACAGCAATTTTTACAGTTTCGTCAAAATAGCTCGGTATAAAAATTTTCTAAATAAAGAAGGAAATTATTATTAATTTTTGTTCCACAAAATAGTATTGTCTCAAGAATGTATTTTGTAGTTTTTATGTATTTACAGGAATGTTTAAAATTTGGTTATTTGGGACAATAGAAAAGTCAGGACAGGTCAGGTGCATGAAATAAGAAATACTTTTTAGTATATCTAACAAAAAAAGTTACAATTAGAGTTTTTTTTTTTACTTTTTTCACATCCTAGATTCTATTATTAGTTTCCACTCCGACTCGACAGAAGAACACAATTACAATCGATACTATTTAAAGTTGTCGGCCTGTCACAATGTCAAAATTAAACACGGGAATTGAGCAAATTCACGAACATTAGTTCAAGGTTACGTGACATTGACTTACGTCAAATTGAGGGCAGGAGTACCACCTAAAGTTTGACAGGCAATTCGTTTTATTTTCGATCGCATGATCTGTATCAAAATTAATATATTTAAATTCACCAAAAAGGTGACCTCATCTCGAAAGGAATTAATACACATTCATGAAAAAGTACCGTGTGGCATACATAGAACAATAAATTAATTGAACGGTCACTGGAAATTTGCCGCTTACTTGTACTTTTACAAGTATTATGAAGTGGCACGTGCCAGACCGATTATACTCATTTTTCCACGAGGCGATACCACAGCCATTAATAAACACTCGGTATTTATAATCCTTGCAACACAATTCATAAAATGTAATCACCACAATTATCTCTACGTCTTCTAGTAAATAAATTCAAAGCGGAAAGTTTTATTTATTGCAACAATCAGAGGCAATTATTGAAACGCCTTAATTTTTTTTGCGAATGTTAAAGAATGTTAACTTTTTCACAAAGTATCCATGAAATCGTCAACAGACAGACGACAAATAAACATTGCATTTTCGTGTTTTATGAACTATAAAACGCCAAGGAGATCTGAAATTGGATTCGTCAAGCTGTCCGACTTTAAGTCAATATAATCAAATTTAGAAGATGTATGTCGTGAATTTTTGTAGTGCAGTGTGCACATGTAAGAGAATGCGATAAAGAACAATGTTAATGCTGTACATTTAAAGTGATAATTACTAAATATTTTATAAATGATTAGGAGATAAATTGCACTTGGCGTCATACTATTTTCAAGCTAGGTACTTTTAAAGTATACAAGTACTTCAAATTTGTAATGAATCAGCTTATAGTTTACAGATTATTATTTATCTAATAAAATATCAACAAACAATATATTTGACCTTTCAATGTATAATTGTATCAATAAAATATTAGACGTACGTATTAAGAAATAATAAAGCCTAAAATATTGTTTAGAATCTAAAAACAATAACAAAATTGGCGTCAGATAAATTGTCAATGTATGAATAATTATCAACGTTCTTTCCATCGTAATTTGTCTCTTTCACATTACTGTCATTTTTCGTGTTTGGCTCATCATCAGTCACGGGTTCCATCTCCATTAATCCAATTCCACTAAAAATCTTCCAGCCGTCAACCAGCCTCAACTTGTCCCAAGTGGGATTTACACCGTATTCGAACACGACCACCACCTCCAACGCGCCGTCGGTAATTCCAGAAAGTGCTTACACAATTCCGATCAGAACGTCCCCAGTTGAGGTTGAAAGAATCATACCAAACGGTAAACTTGCAATTAAATTCGTCTTTTATCACACTACAATTGTCTACCAACAGTCCCGTGTTTGGACGACCCCCAAAGCGAAGCCCAGCTGAAAATGTTACTCCGCGCCCACAAATGTCTGACTGAAGAATCACAGGGAGTGGCCAGTTGGCCATGTTTTGAATCAAACTGTGGTGTGATGAAACAAGTATTAAAACATATCTATAGTTGTGGTATGGGCACCATGTGTACAGTTTTACATTGCTCTTCCTCCAAAAATCTGCTCAACCATTGGAGTAATTGTACAAATTCGGACTGCCAGCTTTGTATGCGAGTGCGAGCTTCACAAGGTCGCTACAACGCTTCAGGGGTGCCATTCGTGGAAAGAAGCGAAGCGTCAGAGAGGGAGGTTGCCAATGAAGGGAACAAAGACTGGCAGAGGTCCATATACCCAGCGGTGAGAGAACGCATGGTTAAAAAAATTATAGAGATTGTGCCGCTTTATGTGCCGACGCCATCGCCAAACGATCCCAGGTTCAGAGATTTGATCACTTACGCGAAGCAAGCGGAAGTTGCCATGTTTAACAAAGCAAATTCTAGTGAGGAGTATTTTAGATTAGTGTTGGAGGCAACTCATAGAGTTCAACAAGAGATGCGTAGAAAATGGTACCGAAGAAGACGTCACCCGGCGGACATGAGTACGAATGAAATAAAAGCGATAATTGAATGACATGATTTTTTATTGTAGCGAACATCGCCGATTATAACAATATCCCTGAAGTTCAAGTTCCTATTGACAGAGACATTAATGCACCCACCGGTACTGTAAGCACCCCACCACAAATTGAAGTACCACAGCGTTTCGTGGATCCACCGCGGACTCCCGAACGGAACGAAATGCTAAGAGCGTTGAAATCAAATCCACGATTGATGGCTAACTTCATTAGAAGTCGACAGGTAAGGTGTGGTGGTTTGTCAACTTTAATTACGTTTGGTCTGTTCAGGAAATGACAGCAGCTCTTGCTAATAGTGGGCCGTGGTCCTACAACACCTTAATTTGATCGGTCCTAGCATTCGTTACTCATAATTATTTTTATATTTTAAGTAGTATATTTTTGTATTTGTAGTTTTTATCAATTCGTAATGTTATTAAAATGTTCGTGTCCATATTTGATCTGTTACCATAAAATTAAATATTTCCTCTAATTACATGAGATGATTTTATTATATTCAGGTACTCTAAATGTACATATTATCAGTCTTTATACTTGTGTATTTTACCAATAAAAACATTAAACATTCCAGTCGTTTGTTTGACTTGATGAAAGGTTGTGTGTTTTCGTGCGATATTCGTAAGCACCGGTTCGAACAGAAAACATAGAAAAGCGTCATTGTTTAAATTAAATGACGGTTGAGGACTCCTAGACTTACGTTGGCAACAGTGTTTGTTTCTAACTAGGAATAAAATTAAGTAGAAAAAATGTTATAATATTTTTAACGACGCGTTTTATTTTCGACAAATTGACACTAGATTTACCAAAATATTACAAGCTGCTTACTGTTTCCATCACTTTAATTCAGGTCACACGAATTACAGTCATCGTCTGAGAACTTGTTTGAACTACAGACCAGAGCGCACTCAGGCCAATGTCGACTCTAAACGTTCGGATTTATAATTTATATTTTTTTATAAATTATTTATAAGCCATGATCCGTCATCTGATCCACATCCTAACCGGTTTCGACCATAATTTCTTGCTGTTTCAACTTTCAAATTCTCAGTTTTTCGAAATTTTAGTTTGGGGACTTTTCGTTTACTCCTATTTATTATTGAATTTTCGGATTTTACAGTTTCTCAATTTTTCAGTTTCTTGGTTTTCAGTTTTTTTCTTCAGTTTTACGATTTTTCAATTAATTAATTTTTCAGGTTTTTCGATTTCTCAATTTTTTAATTTCTTAGTTTTTGAACATTTCAGTTTTGGGATTTTTCAGTTTGCTTATTATTAATTTTTCGATCTTACGATTTTGCAGGTTTTCAGTTTTCGGATTTTTCAGTTTTTTTTTCATTTTTCAGTTTTTCGATATTTCCGTTTTGGTATTTTTCAATATTTTTGTTCTTCGACTTTTCCATTTTTGACTTCTGGATTTTTCGATGTGTCGACGTTTTACTTTTTTGATTTTTAAATTTTAGATTTCTCATTTTTTTGGTGTTTTAATTTTTCGATATTTAAAATTTTAGTTTTTTCGATTTCTCGATTTTTCATTTTAGTTCTTCGATATTTCAGTTTTTCAAGTTTTCGAATTCTTCAAGTGTTTTGATATCTTAATCTATCGATTTTTCGACTTCCCAGTTTTAGATATTCTGTTTTTCAAATGCCGTTTTTTCAAATTTGCGATTTTTCTAATTTGATATTTATAAACTGTCAATTTTTCTATTTTTCAATTAATCCATGTTTTGATTTTCCCATTTCTTGACTTTCGAGGGTTTCGATATTCCTGTTCTTCAATTCTTTAATTTTTCGATTTTTCAGGTTTTTGATTTTTCATTTTTTAGTTTTTTAAGGTTTCGATTTATCGACTTCACTTTTTGGATTTTTCGATTGCTCAGTTTTTCAACTTTTTAGGTCCTCAGTTCTTGGATATTTCTGTTTTCGGATTTTTCAAGTTTTTCATTTTTCAATTTTTCTTTCATTTTTCAGTTTTGGGATTTTTCAATATTTCTGTTCTTCGACTTTTCCATTTTTGACTTCTGGATTTTTCGATGTGTCGACGTTTTACTTTTTTGATTTTTAAATTTTAGATTTCTCAGTTTTTTGGTGTTTTAATTTTTCGATATTTAAAATTTTACGTTTTTTCGATTTTTCGATTTTTCATTTTAGCCCTTCCATATTTCAATTTTTCAAAAATGTTTTGATTTCTTAAGCTTTCGATTTTTATCTTCCCGGTTTTATATTTTCTGTTTTTCAGTTGTCGTTTTTTCAATTTTTCGGTTTTTAAATTTTGGATTTTTCAGTTTTTTGATATTTTAATTTTTCAATATTTAAAATTTTAGATTTTTCCATTTATCGATTTTTCATTTCAGTTCTTCCATATTTCAGTTTTTCAAGTTTTCGAATTTTTCAAATGTCGTTTTTTCAAATTTTCGATTTTTCAAATTTGATATTTATAAACTGTCAGTTTTTCGATTTTTCAATTAATCGATGTTTTGATTTTCCCATTTCTTGACTTTCGAGGGTTTCAATATTCCTGTTCTTCAATTCTTTAATTTTTCGATTTTTCAGGTTTTTGATTTTTCGACTTCACTTTTTGAATTTTTCGATTGTCCAATTTTTCGACTTTTTAGGTTTACAGTTTTTGGATATTTCAGTTTTCGGATTTTTCAGGTCTTCCATTTTTCAGTTTTTCGTTATTTCAGTTTTGGGATTTTTAAATATTCCCATTCTTCGACTTTTCGATTTTTGTCTCCTGGGGTGGGATTTTGTTTCTAGCGATACGATACGAAGCGATAGATGACAAGGACGAAAATATAAATTTCAGATGCCAAAGAAAAAGACGACCACATTTTATCGGTACCGATATTTTATCGTTATAGAAACAAAATCCCACCCCTGGATTTACCACATTTTATCGGTACCGATATTTTATCGTTATAGAAACAAAATCCCACCCCTGGATTTTTCGATGTCTCCTTTTTTTTACTTTTTCGATTTTTCAATTTTAGATTTTTTTAACTTTTAAAATTTTAGATCTTTCGATTTCTCGATTTTTCATTTCAGTTCTTCGATATTTTAAGTTTTCAAGTTTTCGAATTTTTCAGATGTTTCGATTTCTTAATCTTTTGATTTTTCGACTTCCCGGTTTTAGATTTTCTATTTTTCAATTGTCATTTTGTCAAGTTTTCGATTTTTTAATTTTTCAAATTTGACTTTTGTAAACTCTCAATTTTTCGATTTTTCAATTAATCGATGTTTTGATTTTCCCATGTGTTTCGATTTTCCTGTTCTTCAATTCTTTCATTTTTTGATTTTTCTATTTTTCGAATTCACTTTTTTGATTTTTCGATTTTTCAGTTTTAGGATTTTTCAATATTTCAATTCTTCCGCTTTTCTATTTTTGACTTCTGGAGTTTTCGATGCGTCTATCTTTTTACTTTTTCGATTTTTCAATTTCTGGATTTTTAATTTTAGATCTTTCAATCTTTTGATATTTTAATTTTTCAATATTTTTTAATCTTTCGATTTGTTAATTTTCATTCTCGATTTATCGAGATTTGATTGTTTAGGTTTCCGATTTATAAGTTTTTCAATTTTTTATTTTGGCCTATTTCGGTTTCTCAGTTTTTACATTTTTCTGTTTTTTTCGTTTTTTGATTTTTCCCCTTTTCCAATTTTTCAACTTTTAACTGTTTATTTGTCGATTTCTCTATTTTTCTATTTTTCGACTTCATCATTTTTCGATTTCTCGTTCCTTTGATCTTTCAATCTCTCAATTTTAAATTTTTTATTTCGATATTTTGATTGTCAATTTCTCAATTTATAGATTGTTCAATTTTTAACTTTTCGATTTTTCGATTTTGACCTATTTCGGTTTCTCAATTGTTGGACTTTTCGACTCCACGATTTCTTGATCTTTCGATTTTCCGATTTTTCAGTTATGCGATTTTTTAAATTTGGGAGTTTCGATTTCTCGATTTTTCGTTATTCGATTTTTAAATTTTAGATTTCTCGATTTTTCGAATTTTCGATTATTTTAATTTTTCATTTTTTTTCTCACTGTTAATATCATACAGTGTATCGAAAACAACCACAAAAAAAGCCACTAAAAAGATTTAAAAATTCACACAAAATAGAACACTGTGTTTCCAAAACATTTTCCCGAAAAAAATCCATTAGATTATTACGATTTCAACAATATTCTTAGTTTAAGACGTTTTGCTAGTATAAAACACAAATAAAGAATTAATTCTTAGTTAAATAAAATATGTAAAATCATCTAAATATGTACCAAAAATATTCACTTGGTCGTTATAAAAAAAATCGCTTCTGAACGCTTAGAGTCGACATTGGCCTGAGCGCGCTCTGGTCTGTAGATCAAACAAGTTCTCAGGCGACGAGTTGTAGTGAAACAAGTTTTTTTATTGGTATTGACTATTTAAATTTGGCGGTTGAGGACTCCAATGTCAATAAGGGTGGTTTTGCAAAATCAGCCTGTATGTCGCATATATATTGATCTATGGTTCGAAGTTTGGTGAGGTTGAGTACAATTTTTGTAAAAATCGTCGGTAGCTGGCTGTTAAGCTACCGTTACCGACACTTGAAACACTTCCACTCGTCCAGTGACATATGACATATGAGAATGAAATGTCAACTCGTAAAATTTCTTACATTATTAAGGTTAAGCATATGTTTATGTGTTGAATAATATTTTAAAATAAGTATTATTCACGATGGAAAAGAACAAACAAACCAACCCCGCTACTAAAAGTAAGTCCAGATATTGTTATAATCAAAATTTGTAGTCACAATTTCTAGAAGAAAAAGTGGACGCCTCCGGACTCACGAAAAAGGAGCGCCGTGCCTTAAAGGTCCAAGAAAAGGGAAAACAAAACCCAGAAAACAAAAAAGACGATAAAAAGGAAGTACCGAAAGCCCAACCACCCAAAAATACCGAAAAACCGGTCGTAACAACGAATCAACTTTCAGAAAAAGAGCTCAGAAAATTGGAATGGGAGAAGAAGTTAGCGGAACAAAAAGCCGAATCGGGTGACAAAAAGGAGGCCCTTAGTAAAGCGGAATTGCGTGCGAAACGTCGCGAGCAACAAGAAGCGCAACGATCGGCGAAAACAAATGTGACTACAACCAAACAAAAAGAGCAAAAAGAGGAGAAGAAACCACAGAAGAAAGCAGCGGAAGTGAAGAAGACACCCGTGACGAAAAAACCCGAAAAAAAGAAACACCTCGTCAGGCGGCTGGAATTCGTCAATCACTTATATTCTGATGCAACATTTGGAAACACAATCGTCAATTTTAAGAATGTGCACCCCGCTTTCGTTAAATTGGGGGTGCAGTACTCGAGTAAAAGAATCCTGGGTTCGAATGCTAGATGTAGAGCGCTGTTAACAGCCGTCAAGGTTTTAATTAAAGATATACAGACACCCCCCAAACAGGAGTTTTGCCGCTACTTTGAAACCGTGCTTCAGTCATGCATGGAACACCTAAACAGATGCCGCTGCTCCGCTGTCTCTATGAACAACGCCCTTACTAATTTCAAAACAGAATTGCGAAGATTGTCCAAAAGTGAAGAACCGGATAATCAAAAGAAAGAAAATCTTTTGGAAGTTATAGACACGTATATTGATCATCAAATGGACAGAGCTGGAGAAGCTATTAGTATGAAAGTTAATGAAAAGATTAATAATGGAGACGTGGTGTTGACATATGGCTGGTGAGTTACATATTTTTATGAGTTTTATAAAAATTGTTTTTTTCAGTTCTTCACTCATTAAAAAAATTTTAAGCGACGCTCACTCTAAAGGTAAACAGTTTCAAGTGATAGTAGTCGACGGGCGTCCATTTTTAGAGGGACGGCAGATGCTGCAGCGTCTCGTTCAAATTGGAATTAACTGTAGTTATGTTCAGATGAACGCTTTGTGCTATGTTATGAGTTTGGTTACGAAAGTGTTATTAGGGGCGCACGCCCTTCTCACTAATGGCTATGTAATGTCTAGGATTGGTACCGCCCAGGTTGCTTTAGTAGCGCAAGCCTATAATAAACCTGTTTTGGTTTGTTGTGAGACATACAAATTTAGTGAACAAGTCCTTACAGATTCATTTGTATATAATGAACTAGGTATGGTGAAGTCTAGTGGTAATTATTTATTCATGTAGAGTGTTGCAGATGACTCAGAGAAGCTAATATGTGTGGATACTCTTGAGGAAAGTAGTCCTTTGGCGCTTTGTCGTAATAACGATAATTTACACATCTTGAATATGCTGTATGACGTGACACCGCCAGACTTAATCACCGCTGTGGTTACTGAATTGGCTATTTTACCTTGTACTAGTGCTCCAGTTGTTTTAAGGCTTAAACCTCAAGCTTTTTAAATTCAAATGGAAAATAAAAAAAATGACAAATTATGGAATATTCTTACCAAAGGAGTTTGTTTGGTCTGTTTTTTAGTTAATTAAGAAGCGAATAATACATAAAAGAAAAGCTAAATGTCGGTGGGATCTAACGGAATTGGAAACTGTTCGTGCTGTCACTTGTATTGTTGGTTGCCTATTTAAAAATGTCATTTTCGTAAAAAATTGCTACAAAGGTATTAATAAATAAGGAAATGAAAACTCTTGAACAATTGTCTATCTCTTTTTTAATTTTTCCGTTTTCCTTGTAGATAATGTGAGATTTTCTTGCGGTTTTCCCAGAGATTTTTCCTGGTTCTCGGACTTCAGTTTCCTGTTTTACCGACAATCTCTCCTGACCGCAGCGCCCCTTAAGTTGACAGTTCCGGCGACCATCAATAGTAAACAAAGACGGATGGTGGGTTAAGTTTATGAAACTTGTAAACTTCGAGTGTTTATTTATTCCCTCGTTAATTACGCGTTGATACATCCGAAAAAGCTCCATTTTCCCAGCGCGCGTTCTCCCAAGGTCCCCGCGCGCCCTCCTCCCCCTAAACAGTGCTATTAACCTCAATGTCAAACTTTCTCGTTAATTACCACGTAATTTGACGCTAATTAGCGAAAATGGGTAAAGCCGAACAGCTCAGCGACAACGTCCCCGGCCTGTCGCCCCAAACCGAGGCCAGTAAGCTCCTTGAACAGGCCCTCATGCAGATGGATGGCATCATATCAGGTCAGTCTTATCTCCCTCGTCACACGATCCCATAAATTATAGTAACTCACCCACGCACCGGCTCCGGTGTGTTTATCAAACTCCGGTGAATCAGTGCAGGCGCGCGCACCCCCAGCTCCGGTCCTCCGGAGTCTGTGCCGCCAGTCTTTCGCCGCCGCTTCAACAGGTGTGTTTAGCCGGAGTCGCGTCGTTACGAAACTCGTTTCCGGACTTCACCGGAGTCTCGCTTTCGCGATGGGAATGGGGGTGGGTTTGCAGTGAGGGGGCGGCGGCCCCCGGAAGACGTTCGTCATGGCGAGGGCGTAGGGAGGCCGAATGACGCGCTGGTGGTGGTTAAATATGTGCCACTCGGGCCAACTCAGAGACGGACACGCCGTTAATAATGTGAACAGTGAGTGTCCGGAATTTGGGGGTAGAGGTTAAGGGGGAGATTGGCCGCAGGGTTAGGGGTTTCAGTCTCAATATTGGGTTTCTTGATTTTTTAGTGTTGTATTTTTAGAGATGTTCGGAGTGAAGTGGGTGTCTGAAGACAAGTTTGGGTATTGTTGATGGATTTAATGGGGCGATTAGGCGGAAAGTTTACATTGCGGCGTTTGTAAAAAATGCCCAACTATTTGGGAACAATAGCAGCAAAATTTGTATTAGGAAAGTTTTCGAAAGTGGTTGAATCGAACTACCTTAGACTGATACACTTTTTTTATTTAACTTAGAATCATACAAATACCCTTTTAAAAAGTACTGTATTTAAACATTTTTGAACAAAATTGTCATTTCAAGAAAAACACAGTTTTTTTTGTCGTTTAAGGTTTAGTTTTCGGTTTGACCATTTCGACATAAGTATAGTTTTCCCAGTTCTAACTCGGTTTTATGAGTTGTAAAAGTTAACTTCTGTAACAATAAATTACTGCTGGCGGTGATGGGACAATCATAAATAAGGATTTAACCATTATACTCTATAATGGTAACGGCATGGTTAAATCCTTATTTATGACTGTCCCATCACTGCAGTAGTAATTTATTGTTAAGGAAGTTAACTTTTACACAATGGGGTACTATGATAAAACCGAATTAGAACTGGGGAAATTATATAGCAATGTTTCGTCGTCGATCCGGTCCAATGCTCCTTTGCACATCGAATTATAATCCCCTTTTAATAGGCAGGAAATGTTAATGTAACGAGTGGATTTACAGTTTTACTAAAAGAGAGGTTAAAATTTAGTTTTGAAAAATATTTTTACGCTTTTTAATCGGGGTATATTTCAAGAATACCGTTGTTTTTACGGTGGTTGGTAGACGTTTTAAAAGTTTTTTATAATATATTTCATTATATTATAATAGGAGTATAATATTAACAGAAACATTACTGTGTTTGATCTAAATTTTTATCATTCCAGAATTTCCCGATGAAATACAATGTCAATTTTTTTAATGAAAATTTTGAGCTATTTTCGCCCACTTTTGAAAAGGACCTAAAAACATTTTTTTGTAGATTTCGACCTCTGGAAATTACTTTCGGCCCCGTATCTCTTTTTTTTACGATTAATAAAAATTGATTTTCCAGTTGAATATAGTAGAACCTCGATAATCCGAATTAATTGGGGAAAAGGTGTGTTCGGATCAGTGAATTTCACATCAAATTTTTCGAAAATATTGCTTCGTTACCATCAACACGCTATATTTTTGGAATCAGCATGTCGAGATCTACGTCCCTGATTTTTTTCAGAATTTTTAGACGACTTTTTGAAAAGTGAAATTTTTCCAATGGTCCCCCTTCTTCAAATTTCGACCAAAGTTTGACATTTTCGAAACTTAACTAAATACATTTTCTTGTAGGTTTCGAGCTCTAGAACTCACTTCCGGCCTCGTTTCTTTGATAACTGCAACCGTTTTTCCAGAATCGATCGTCGAAATTTCGAAATTTTAATTATTTTTCAAAAATTCGCATTTCATGCCGATTTTTCGAAAATGTTGCTCCGTAACCTATACACACACTATATTTTTGGAATTAGCATGTCGAGATCTATGTGCCTGAATTTTTTCAGAATTTTTAGACGACTTTTTGAAAATTGAAATTTTTCCAATGGTCCCCCCTTCTTCAAATTTCGGCCAAATTTTGACATTTTCGAAACTTAACTAAATACATTTTCTTGTAGATTTCAAGCTCTAGAACTCACTTCAGGCGTCGTTTCTACGATAACTGCAACCGTTTTTCCAGAATCGACCGTCAAAATTTCGGAATTTTAATAATTTTCAAAAATTCGCATTTCATGCCGATTTTTTCGAAAATGTTTCTCCGTGACCTATATACACGCTATATTTTTGGAATCAGCATGTCGAGATCTACGTCCCTGATTTTTTTCAGAATTTTTAGACAACTTTTTGAAAAGTGAAATTTTTCCAATGGTCACTTCTTCAAATTTCGGCCAAATTTTGACATTTTCGAAACTTCACTAAATACATTTTCTTGTAGGTTTCGAGCTCTAGAACTCACTTCCGGCCTCGTTTCTTTGATATAACTGTAACCGTTTTTCCAGAATCGACCGTTGAAATTTTGTAATTTTAGTAATTTTCAAAAATTCGCATTTCATGCCGATTTTTTCGAAAATGTTTCTCCGTGACCTATATACACGCTATATTTTTGCAATCAGCGTGTCGAGCTCTACGTCCCTGAATTTATTCACAATTTTTAGACAACTTTTTTAAAAGTGAAATTTTTTCAATGGTCCCCTCTTCTTCAAATTTCGGTCAAATTTTGACTTTTTCGAAACTTGACTAAATACATTTTCTTGTAGATTTCGAGCTCTAGAACACACTTCCGGCTTCTTTTCTTTGATAATTTCAACCGTTTTTCCAGAATCGACCGTCGAAATTTCGAAATTTTAATAATTTTCAAAAATTCGTATTTCATGCCGATTTTTTCAAAAATGTTTCTCCGTGACCTATATACACGCTATATTTTTGCAATCAGCATGTCGAGATCTACGTCCCTGATTTTTTTCAGATTTTTAAGACGAGTTTTTGAAAAGTGAAATTTTTCCAATGATCCCCCCTTCTTCTAATTTCGACCAAATTTTGACAATTTTTTTAAAACCTCAACTCAACATTTATGAGTTTTGAGTTATTTTCGACTATTTCCGAAAATTATCGGAGGACATTGTAGATTTAGACCTCTGAAAGTAAATTTCGTCCTCATTTCTCCGAAAATTCCTACCATTATTCCAGAATTTAAAAAAAAATTGACTTTCAAATGGAATATTTCGAAAATTTTGCTCCGGGACCATAATAATGTTAAATTTTTCGAATCAGCATGCCGAGATCTATGCTCCAGTCCAGATTTTTTTGGGAATTATAAATTTTTCAAAAACTCAATTTTCCCTTATGAAAATTTTGAGGTATTTTCGATCATTTTCGAAACTTACCTAGACTCTTTTTATAGATTTTGATCTCTAGAATTTATTTTCAGCCTCTGTTCTCCGAAAATCCCTGCCATTATTCCAGAATTATCCGATAAACAAAAATTTTGAGGTATTTTCGATCAATTTCGAAAATTATCTAAATACTCTTTTTATAGATTTTGACCTCTAGAATTTATATTTTTAGCCTCTTTTCTCCGAAAATTCCTACCATTATTCCAGAATGACTGGATGAACTGTGTCATTTTTTAGTATTAAAAAAAAATCCGACCTTCAAACTAAAAATTTGGAAAATTGTGCTCCGGAACCATAAACATGTTAAATTTTTCGAATCAGCATGTCGAGAGCTATATGCTCCAGAACTTTTTGTACATTATAAATTTTTCAAAAGTTCAGTTTTTCCTTATGAAAATTTTGAGGTATTTTCTATCATTTTCGAAAATTATCTAAAGACTCTTTTTATAGATTTTGACCTCTAGAATTTATTTTCAGCCTCTTTTCTCCGAAAATTCCTGCCATTATTCCAGAATTACTTGATGAACTGTCATTTTTTACTATTAAAAAAAAAAGATCTTCAAACTGAAAATTTGGAAAATTGTGCTCCGGAACCATAAATATGTTAAATTTTTCGAATCACCATGTCGAGAGCTGTGCTCCAGAATTTTTTGTAGATTATAAATTTTTCAAAAGTTCAGTTTTTCCTTATGAAAACTTTGAGGTATTTTCGATGATTTTCGAAAATTATCTAAAGACTTTTTATAGATTTTGACCTCTAGAATTTATTTTCAGCCTCGTTTCTCCGAAAATTCCTGCCATTATTCCAGAATTACTCGATGAACTGTCATTTTTTACTATTAAAAAAAAAAAAA